GTAGAATGCTCCAATGGACATCAAAAAAGGAAAAGGAAAAAAGACAGGATCGGCTTGGGGCGTTGTTCTGTCATATGCCCTGATAATCGATTCGATGGCTTGGGACGCAGACGTGTACTGATCTAAAAGCAAGCTTCAGGACGTCAAGAAAATATGTTGCAGAATAACCGACCATGTTCGTGGGGGTGGTGATGCGGATCTAAGTAGTGCAGTGTATCCTTCTTCAGGTTTTGATATTCATCCATCTTCTGGACTTTCTCGCGTATCTCTCCTGAAAATATTGTCAGCTTTGAATCTCAGAATCAGGTGAGCTTTTACTGTGAGACGATAAAGATATGAACGTGTCAGTCACGCGGCGAATTTCGTCAGGATATTGACTACTGAGCATTTCAGCCAGTATTTTGCCGTTCTTTATGATTTCACTACGTAACTTCTCTGAGGTTTTCATAAGCAAGTTATGCAACGGGCTGTCTTGAAACTCTCACCGTTGCGCGCAATCTTTTCTAAAACATCTTTGAGGGCCCGTTTGTCCACACCTGGGGCTTTAAGACACCACAAAAGAGGTTCTATTATTCCGGCATCAAACATCTCCTGACGTGCGTCCTCTATATCTTGATCAGTGTGAATTCTCAACACTAACATACAAACTAACCGTGATCGGCGATAATACGCAGGTAATTGATAGCACTATTCTGAACGGAGTCAAGCTGAGTAGTTTCGATCATCTTGCGCAAAATCCCAATGATGTTTCTTGGGTACTCGGGCTTATCGGAATAATCCATCTGCTTTTTGACTAGTCTGTGTATCGTCTTCCCCAGGACGTAGTTTTCCGCTTTCTTGAGTAGTCGTCGGGGTGCATCCTTCCGGCCGAAATTCCAAGAACCATTATCGAATGACGGTTCATTATTCGGTTTTAACATAATGGATCGCAAGTGTTCTGCACAACTCGTAAGAACCCCATAGAACGTGGAAATATCAAATTGCCAAACCATTTCTGAATATCTCCGCAAGGATATCTATGCCCTCCCGACCAATCGTTCCGTCGAAGATGCGTTCCTTGACCATCTGCAGCAAATGCAGGTCCACTTCAGTGTCCAGTATCCATTTCTTGGCGTCGGCTGAACGTAGCTCAATCAAAATTGTTGACAAAATGCCTCGCAGCACTCACCATATTGCATGAGATTCAAAAGCGCATTCGCAGCAAATAACGCATGGTCTGGTTTTGCCAAATTATCGACCATGCTGTCCAGGCCTTTTCTGTCAATGATTTTTTTGCGGAGTTCAGCTGAGACGATATCAGTTTTCCTAGAGCAAATATCTGACGGACCATACCGTGTTTTGATAGCTCTGTGAGTTCCTGGGTCGCACTGTTGCTCATTTCCACTATGTTATCTCTCGAAAGCGCAACTAGTTTTCCGATGTGCGGGCCCTGTGCAAGCTCGTTGCGCACGTCCCCTGCGTAACAGAATAAGTTATACGGTAAACAGGGTCTTAGACGGTTTCAGATACGAACCAAATTCAGCGAGTTTCATTAAGCCACGCGGTCCACCGCTCAAACCTTGCTTATCGAACTCAAGCAGGTCAATCAATGTGACAAGAATCCCGCTTTCCATAGCCACCCTGCGGAAAAGTTTGTCTATGTTGGAAGAGCGTCAGCATTTGATCTCAGGAATTGGAAAAGTACTTGAACCATTCTGGCAAATCTCGCATAATGCAGCTACCGCAGCTGGAGTGACAAAGAAATCACGACGCTTTATCAACTCCTTGAGCCTGTCGACAATCTCTATCCGAGATAAGGTATCCTTCGGGATGTTCTCTGAACACGAAATATCAGAATGTACTGATTTCCGTGAATCCGTGCGGGGACTGACCTTTGCTGGTCACAGCTGCTAAGATATTTAACGCAGCAACGACGACGGTGGCGGCTGAGATACAAATGAAGAACAAAAACGGGTTGACAGGCGAAGACTCACAACTGTCGTTCAAAACAAGAATCTCTTTGATAAAATCGTGTCGTTGGGAAAGGATGTGACGTGTTTCATCTTTGGTTTGATTGCATATGAGGGGGCGGGTTTGAAACGATTTAGAGGGACGATGCAACTTACCAAAGTGTTGGGTAAGGTATGACAGTGTTTTCATTGCAATCAATCGGTTTTCACCTGCCGTCCGACAGAGATCGACGATTCGCTGAATCAGATCCTTTTTAAGGAGCTTCTCCCTTAGTGTTCTGATTCCACAAAGAGCTGGAAGAGCTGCGCAAGCTCTGCCTTGGTGCGCTGGTTTCCCATCTTTGAGCAATGCGAGAACATCAAGACTATCTAGTATGCTTTCCGTGATCTTGTCCTTATTCTCGACTGTGCGTTTCTGTGAGTTCGTCAAAGTAGCAATGGAAAGACAAGACATACCGAGTCCGCAGTACGCGACGACTGCGCTGAGGCGCACTTCAGGATCATGTTCTTCGACCGTGTCATCATATATGGTCTCCTTGAAATTTGCCAGGCGAGAGATCCTCTCCTCGTCTTCTGTTGCGTGTTCAATATTCGCAATACTTTTGCCGTGAATACCAAGTATGTCTTCTAGCGTCTCAAGTGGATTCACCTCCCGCACCGCTTCAACTCCGAGTTCTGTAATCCATGAGATCGGGTTAGTACGTCAAAATCGTCTGGCATCTCACCAAATGAACACATGAAGGCCAAACGATCGACATAATCAAGCACGTGCTTCTTATGAATCGTACCGACGAGAGCTTCGGCAGTCGAGCGTTTGAAAGGAACTTCCCAGGCATGAGTTTGCGTCGGTAGGTCTTGTGGTGATCGCGACCGCTCCTGCTCGTCGGTGCCAACATGAAAGTAGATCGCCTCAGGCCACTGTTGAAGATTTCTCCAGAAATTTGCTTTCGGCCGGTAATTGGGACGAAATAGAACCGACGCATGGACCTTTTGGCCGGGTAAGATAATACGACCTTTTCCAACATGTGGTCTACAAGTAATCTATGTGTGAGCCGAGTCATTGAGCAACATGGCCACTTACAACGACGTGTGCTGGTTGGAGTTATTGTAGCGAAGACGTCTGACAGGCAGTAGCTCGAGCGGCCACCACGGGAGAGTTAACGAACTATTTATCTTGGTGCCTTCAAGTCTTCATATTTGAAAGCTACCTTGGGAGGATGAAGCACAAGGCCCGCCTCGAAAGCTTCTTCACGCATCCATATTAAGGGCATGTCTTGGAATTAAGCGCATCGCTCTCTCTTTTTCCACCGCCTCTGGAACAAATTGTCAAATCATAGCCTTCCGGTGCAGGGGATACATACATATCCGAATGACTACCAGCAACCAGACCTCTTTTACGTGATCCTTAGCATGATCTTCCCCATGATCTTTTTTAAGACGAGATTCGTCCTTGGGAGGTAGCACCCATTTCTGTCGATCGCTCATACCCCCATAGACATACTCGGGTAGGAATTTCACCCTGTGTTCATCTAGTGCAAGTGCGTGGCGAAAGTAGCAAACATGATCACATGTATCGGTAGACGGTAAAATCTTCTCCTTCTTGATACCAACAGACGAAACGGTGTCCCTGTACAGTGTATTGATCATGCTGGTATGCTCGCATTCAGGGATAACACTCACCATACGCCGATGAAATGTATTACAATGCCTTGTCTCGAGAACGTCGATTTGAATCCTGCTGCAAGTTTCTTATCCTCGGACTTTCCACTGTTGATAGCAGAGTAAAGGTCGAAGGCACTGCTGGCGTCAGCTTGTCAGCCAAGGATGATCATCAAATATACTCACTAGGGGATCTGTTCTAGATTGCCGGGTAATATGAGTCCCATCTATCAGAAAAGTAATGAACAAGAAAGATCATAGATAATAAATCAAAGTTGATGGATACTTCGTGGATCATTCCTGCTAATGCACGAACTTGGTATGCACCTCTCGAAAATCCTGGCCTCGCATTTTAGTACAGTTGACTATATAAAACGTCCAAGAACTTACCAAACAAGAAGATCTTATCACCAGGACGGTACTTGTCTGAGAGCCATCTGTAGGCGTCCATGATGGTTTGGCTGATATTACTTTACTGCCGTTACCACGAGCCGTTAAAGGTCAAGTATATGATACTTACAATGCGAAGGCCAGATCAAAGACATTCAAGACCTGCTTCATCCAGTGCGTATGGCCCTTAGCATATGTTCCTACACCACTGTTGTAGTACGTTAATTGTGTGCCATCCTGACTATCTCGCTATATAGTTCGACGATATTTGTGTTCTGAGTACAGATATTTATCGATAAGAAAATCAGAAGGCATGCGCGTCGGACGACCTACTTTATTACAAAACTTGTTTGATGTCCCATCTGCAAACTTGAATCATCGTCATCTGCAACTGTAGTTAAAATGCGCACCAATGCAGATGACCAGGTTTCTCCCTGGCCCTTGGTCCCTCGGACATTTACACGACGCGTCAAGACCTTCATAATCCTGAGTGAGAGAAATTGTTTGCGACTCCCCAGTTTGGAGCCGTAATAGCAGGGTCTGCCACGATAGTGGCTGGAATGCGTAAATATTTAACGGGTTCCCTTGCATCAACAAGATTTTATATTGTTCTGAACAGAGTATGCCCACGAAGGTGCAGTAATACGACAACCTGTGCATGAACTGCGTGCGGCGCCCGTGGAGACACACACCCTGGCTTCTTGAAGAGGCGCCATACTAGATCTATAAAAACTGTGATAAAATTAGGTACAATAATTCGCTACTTTACACATGCTGCAAACCTTATGATTCACGCAGCTGGTGCACGGCAAGCACACACATCATCCTTGGTGTTAGATGCAACGTTGTGTCTTGTTATCTTTTTATGAGCACGGAGTACAGGGGCTCGATCAGGAAGTGACGGAAAGAAAATGGAAGACGACGAGGCTGTATTGTGCGAGGACGCCAAAATCTGGATGCAGATGAAGTCGTTGAATGCAAATTCACAAGTTACGTACAAGCTTATGTTAAATCATATTACATCACCAAACTCTTGTAGGGTAGAAGTGACTTTTCGGCTCACATGACCTGTGAAGCTCTCGAAGATCAACCGATCTTTGCCCCGTACCCAGGTGAACAGAAGCTCGCATGCAATGTCACTTGAAGTATAAGAAGATGATCGTTCACAACATTCAACTGAACAACGCAGGACTGCAATTCTTGATCTGCGTAGACCGTTTTTGGAAGTTTTCCCCTTCGTGCTGTGCGGGACCAGGTGTTACTTTGGCATGCACCAGCATGGTAGAAAATGATCATGAATCGCAGCCGTAGCCGAAGATGAAACCATCACGCCGTTGATAAGTGTGAGAACGTTTCGTAAGGCGCTTGCCAGAACGTCTGCAGATCGAGCGCCCGGAAAAGTGTGATGCAGCGTGTTCCGAGCAGGCTTATATTCTGCCAGGTTGTGTTTGAGATGCGAGCGAAGGTCTGGACG